AAGCAAAAAAGCAAAACAGAATCGAGGACCGTAATCATGTATTTCCTAAATCACAGATATCCTAAAATTGCTCTAAAGTCTTAGGCACTTTTCATAATAACTACGAGATTCAGAAGAGGGACTGCTTGTTTCATATTGCTTTTGTGATGCATTCATTTTTGAGTTTGTCACCTGAGTCCATTTGTTAATTTGCCACAATTTTTTCAAATTGACTGCAGATTTCTAAACAAAGCCTGAGAACCAAGAGACTAAATCTACTCTTATGTGTCAAATGCAGCTGCTCAGATCACCCAATACAAATCCCTGGCAGTATTGGCTCTCTCACCCAAAAATAACAAAGAAACTTCCCAGACACAAAGAAGCAGGCAAAACAACACTGCCAGTTAAAAAGCAAGATTTAAGAGTTCTTACATCATAGCTCTGATCTTAATTTCAGATTCGAAGGTGCTGACGTAGATGAAAAATTAGCAATGTGACAAATAATCAGTCTTCTACAGACAGTCTTGTTTTAATTATGAGGAGAACATGAAATGATTAGGAGTTGCCTGGGATTGTGGCTATTAATAGATTTGAAAAAGAGCTGCTTTACTTGATGTGCTCTTGATGGCCGGATCCTTTCACAGTTTTAGCCCCCCAGCGCTGCTCTTTCTCACTCACGTCATTCTGTGAAGGACACACAAAAAGCGTTAACAACCCAAAGATGTTACCAGTTATTCACAGCAAAACCTGCCAGAAGTCGGCAAGATCCAAGAATCAGAAAACCAACTACTTCTGCTTTCGCTTCTGCAAGCACTGTGCATTTCCCATTGCAGAAAGCACTTTGTATCCCAAAAAGCTGCATCTTCAAATCACACAAGTGATTGATTTAAATCACTTCCCTGCAGACTTCCCTGCAGCATCCAAGCAAAACAAGATAGCTTTGTTCATCCCACACAGAAAATCCTAATTCTCTGCTCTTCCAGGAAGATGCTCCTACCAGTTTGTCTTGCTTAGATATACCCAGCCCCCCCCCGCTGCAGAATTTCAGCACGTTACACCACACAGTTGCAGTGAATAGATGAGATCTGAAAGCCGTACCACAAAGTCGGGATCTGTCTCCCAGTCATCTGCTCCATCATCCTGGCTGATGGCAATGGCGTGGCCTGCGGTAGCCTTCCACATCTGCAACACCACCAGAAGCACCACCGTCACGCTCCCGTTACACAGAAACTCACTAAAAAACTCACTCACACCTTCTGTGTATGCTGACAGAAGCACAACCCAAAATTCCAAGCAAAGGACACAAACATCAGTTATCTCTGCAGTCGTTGGCTCTCAGACTGTTTGGACCACCATATCCTTAGTTTTTGCTACTGGCACTGCAGAAAGATTAGCAGCAATCAAAGATGAAATTTTAAAGAGACCAAGGAAGCCTCTCCTTGCCCAAATTAACACGTCGCTTTTCTTCACTTAGTGGTAGCACCCTTTGTACCCCCGCACTAAAGTCTTCTGTTCAGGCAGCTTTCCTGTTCCATGTCTACTCCTGAGGAGTGCTGCTAATTCCGGACCCTGTGCACATGCTTAGGGCTTAGCAATAGCTGTTTTCCACCAGTGCTCCACGTGCTGCCTCAGATGTGCGATGGGTTTCAAGAAATCCAAACAACTACAAGAATTTGCACACAATCTAGACACTGATCCACTTGCCTGCAACAACAGGGTATGCAAGTTGCTGCATTTCTCAGATAATCCCCCGTGAAATGTGCAAAAGTCAGCGCCCCGGCAAACTTGCGGGAGGAGTAGAGGGCAAATGCTGGTGCGATGATAACAGGAAGCAAAAGGCAAGCAATAACATCCCCAAAAAAACATTCAGAGCATGTTAGGTATCACCCTTTCTGGAAATACTATACCCAGTAGAGTATCAGGTTGGGCACTTTAATTAACACTTCTGAACATGACCAGGGAGCACAGTGTATCACCTGCTTGGTGCCAGTGGCTGTATTTTACAAAGCTTATTCAAGAAAAATTATATTTCTTATATACACATATATTATATATATTTCTGAAGAGCCAACCAAAGACAACAACAAAACGCTCTCTGTTCTGCCAGCTTTTTCATGTTCATGAGTCAGAGGAAGGACTTTTCTTCATACTTGTGCCACTAGAATACAGTCCTTGAACATTCCATCATCCTATTTAGCTCCACTTTTTAAATTAGGAATAGTTTATGAAGGTTACTAACGTGGACTATTTCTTTTGCACAAATGTAACTCAGAAGGTAGAATGGAAATTCCATTTTAAATGTGTAACTAGTAATTTGCAGTGAAGTTTACACTACAGCAATAAAACCCTGCTTGCTCTGCAATCTAACAGAATGAACCAGCAGATCAGCACGTCAGAAATGCCAGGACTTGGAATAAGAATGATCGAGAAGTAATCAAACCAACAACAGCAAAGCACAGACTGCTCCTGGAGGGGCATAAGAAGAGAGCAGAGCACACCCTGACAAAGCAGCAGTATGTTTGCTATCCCTTTTGTTCAGGTCTCTCACCTCCAAATTCCTATGACAACTGAGAAGTACCATTTGATGAACCACTTAATATCTAAAAACCTTGTAAGACCAAGTAATTATAATAAAAACCTCCAGGGCAGCTTCCTTCTCCAGGTGCATAGTTCAAGGCGCTTGCTTGACTTTTTGTCTTTTGCAATTCAGTTACGTTCGGCAGCAGGAGGGCTAGATCTTCAGATCAGGATTTCTCTCCCTCTTCCTCCCCAGATGCTCACAGATGATAGCCGAGGAGGAGAGGACTTCAAACACACACACACCCTCACCGAGCCCAGCACCACCAGGTTTCGCCCTGCACAGAGGCACAAACGCCTGCCCCGGCCCAGCCCCGCACAATGCACGGCCAGCTGCGAGCCGGTGGGATCAGGCTCGGCTTGCACAGCAGCCCATTGCTCCAGCATCTCTTCCAAGGCAGGATGTGGACGAACATGATCTGCCTGTGAGTCAGCGACTCACATGGGCAAATTACTGAAGGAAAACCAGAATATTATATTTCCGGCGTATCGAGGCTAGAAATAAGTTCGGAACCCATCTGGCCAGCTCCGTCCTTCGCCCTGCCGTGACCAATGGAAGCCGCCGGACCCCCCAGCACCGTCCGAGCAGCGGCCATTGGCAGGGCCGCACCGGCACAGGAACAGCAGGGCCGGCAGAGCCCACCGCCGCGCCCGTCCGCGGGCACCCAGGGCCCGCACCGCCCCTCGGGGCCTTTCAGAGGATGCCCGGGCCGGCAGCCCCGTCCCGCCCCGTCGGCAGCCCGCCCCCCGCCCCTCCGGGCCGCATGTCGCGCCGCCGAGCCCGCACCCAGCGCTCCCTGTGCAGCCGAGGGCCCCGGGCTCCCCCGCCGCACAGTCCGGCGCCCCCCGCCCCGCGCTTACCCTGCTGGCCGCCGGCTGCCGCGGCCGTGGCTCCCGCGGTGCTTCCCGGGCGGACGGCGGCGGCGATTTCCGCTTCTCCCGAGCTCCCACTTCCTCTTTCCGCACGGCGGGGCGGCTCCAGGTGGGATATGGCCGCCCGCGCCGCCCCGCCCCGCCGGCCGGGCGCTTCCTTAGCCCAGGATCCTGGCAGAGCGGTGCAAAGCAAACGAGAGCGGGCTGCGGCTTCGAAAAGGCCCTGTCAGGAATTTTAAGATCACGTTCAAAATTCATTTAGTTCTAACAGTGCCTCTTGAGGGGCTTCCCTTAGCAGGGGGTGAGAGGCCCGCTCGTGGTTGTTCACAGGGTGTCTGCGTCGAATAGGTGCTGAAAACAAAACCCCCACTCTCATGTTTGAGGTCTGAAAGCAGGACCCTGCCTTCCTGATGGTTAAATATTTGCCCATGATTTATTACCTTTTGGGGAGGGGGAAACAAGAGGAATGACGTATCCAGTGGGAGAAAAATACACATATGTAACACACACAATGTGAAATAATCCAGGCAAACAGAGTTTTGCAAAGTATTGGAGGCAGGAGCGTGACTTACCAGCTCCTCCAGTCACATGAAGGCAGTCTGCTCAGTGTCAGCCTCAATTCTTCTTATATGAAACAGAACTTTATATTCAGAGTTAAAAACTGGGCTGAACTCACTCTAAGATACACGTAGGAATATCAACCCAGCACTTTTATCCATTCCTATAAGAATGACCTATAAGGGTAGGTGCTGCTATTTAAGTTAGGCTCCAATTGCTGCCCTTTGCAAACAACCACCATTAGTAAAATTTGTAACATCTTTACTTGAGGTTAGCCAGTACACCAAAACCATAACCTTAAAAAATGAAATACATTATCCATTTGAAGGCAAAGTAGTTACTGTGTTCAACAAAAACATCATCCCTCAACTAATTCTTCAAATTTAACACTGCACCTGAAAATTATCTCTGCTTCCTTCCAGACTGCTTAGTTCCAGCAGATCCCATAGCAGACCCTGGTGTTTTGAAGGCAAGATCCATTTTAAAGGCCAGCCAAATTCATTAGGACTTCAAGCAGGCATAAGCCAAGCAGAAACTCAGCTTTGAATCATCTCATTTCTGTCATGAAAAATTAGTGCTCGCCCTCAGACATTGCAAAACCCACCTAGTCTTCCAATTTTATAGTGGTTAGAAAAAATAGAGATGAAGATATACTATCTGTTTTGATATTTACCTGCCTTCTAAATGTGAAAAAAAAAAAAAAGAAAGTTTAAAGTCCTCAGATAATTCAATCATCTTTATTGCAAATAAAAAAGGGTTCTCACATTTTAAAACACGTTTTCATAGCACTTCACAACTGAAGCCTTTAAAGACATTTGGCATTTACAGAAAAAAAAAAAAAAAAAAAAAAAAAATCACTGAATCAAGATTTAAAGATTACTCCATGTGCCTTTTACACATGCAGTTGCAATATCCTTCTTTGTGGGGTGTTACTAAAACAAAATAGTGTTTTTCTCAACTTCCCTGGGATAGGGACAGCTTTGCCATGTAATTCAAAGGAAACCAACACACAGTTTTGCAATTTTGTTGAAAGCTTTTTCTATTTCACTTTTATTCTAGCTCTCATGTTGATTCCATTGTTCCGTAACAGTCAGGGTTCACAGCCTTAAAGTAATAACCACATTTTCCCATTTTACCAGTCTATTCTGCATTTTCACTTTCGAGAAGCAACAGTACATGACTTTGAACATGCCTACCATCATATCAGCAACCAGAGACACACACGCTATTTTTTTCTACCTGCTTAGCTAAACAGTGAGACGAGGTTTCCTTCTGCAGTTTCACCTTAGTGTTTTTTCCAGAAAGATAGCTTTTCAGAAAATATAAACGTCTGCCACTTATCAGATAGCAACACAAACAGACAGTCATTATTACTAAACGACGTTTAAAGCATTGATCACAGTATTTCCATTCCAGGCATTCCACATCCTGCTCTGGATCTTGAGGACATGACGAAATATGCTTCAATTGCTCAGCAAGTTTATTTGTCTCTTTCCTTTTACACAAGAAATGGTTTACAACATATCTTAATTGAAATAAGCAGCCCTGTTACGACCCAGGTTTTCATCGGTTCCCTGGACTCCTATGCTTCCCCCCAAATATCACTACTGTCAATTTCATTTTATTAACAAAGCAATAATTGCTGCTATATGTAACAGCACTTCAATTTTCATCACACTGACCAAAATACAGTGAAGTTATATTAGAGTTTCATTGGAGGGAGGAGGGCATTGTGGGGTGAAAAAAAGAAGTAAATCATAGCTCTAAGTAATGTCAAAGTACTGAAGTACTGTCCAAAAAAGTCTCAACACAAACTTGAACAATTCCCAAGAGAAAGTCACTTCTAACGTAATATTTTCCTGCTGGAGAAGAATCTTCATGTGAAACAAGATGTACAGGGCAGCAAAGAATCATTAAGATGCTTTATTGACAAATATCCACTCACCGCAAAAAGTATCTGCCTGCATACAATTAGATTTTAGCTTTTCAATAGTGTTTTATTGGCAGTGGAAAATGCATCAGTACTTTATTGAAAGAAAGCAATAAATAATACTGTGATAAAAATAGTTCAAAAGTAGACTGTACATATTGTTACATAATCTGAAAATACACAAAAGATTAATAGAAAAACAGAACAGTAACAATGAATTTGTTTTACAAGCAAGTTAAAAGTGGAAAACAAAATAAGAAAAAAAGACATGCTATATATATATTGTTGCATAATAAATAATGCACCATCTGAACAGAATCTTGCTGGCTTTTTAATATGCCATTTACAAGTGTTGGGATACATTTTTCTACTCATACAGTCCAAAATGGCTACAACCATTTAAACTAAAGTCCAGACGACTCTTTAGAACAAGTTTACAAAACACAAAATATGATTTACGTAAGAAAAGTAAGGCCTTGATTAGGAGTTGCACTGCTTTAGTTCTCAGCACACTGTACCTTCATTTTCACTAGTTATTTGACGTGAGACTGCAGTGTTTCATGACTGGTCCATTAAAATTAGTTTTACCAGCATCTTTCCACAAGTGCTTTCAGTCAAAAAAAAATCAGCACAAAAGCACTCTCTGTGGCCTGTGGATTACAACCAGGAATTATTATGAAGTCTATCTTCCTCAGTTAAGAAAAACAGTTCTTGGTTTATGGCTTGGTTCTCAGTCACGGTGAAGATATGCTATACAAATACAGCAGAGACAGAGTTGTGACCGAGTCAATCACTTCTAAAATGTGTCCCATGGTGTTCTAGTTCTTCCCAGCTTTTCAAACGAGTTATATTTTAAATAAAGACAAATTCCCACTGCTTGACAATTCCTTTGTGGAAAGGTACACTTCTGAAAAGAAGAACAATTATGTACCATACCTTCAACAAACAACATACGCTTGTCTGAAAAAAAGCTGGACTTGTTTTCAGATCTAGTTAACATTTCCAAAAGACAAAATATATACTGCTTGGTGTCATGATACTTTTACAAAGGTATTAAAATTCTTTTCACCTTCAGTTTCATTATTAAAAAACAATGATAATTACAGTAACTGCATAATTTACAAAAACCTTACATTATTTATAGGGACATATACATACAAGCATTACAGTACATTCAGTTGGAAAGACTAAAATTAGATTAAAAATCAGCAATGATTCATTGTAGACTGAATAGAAACAGAAAAAAGTAAGTAACTATATAAATGAGAAGTCACATAAATATAAGAAACATTTAGATTCTAAAATATTTTCTCTATAGTACTCATGAATTTATTTGCTAATTAAAAACTCTGTAATAAAATATCTCAAAGTGTCCATTTAAGAAGTATTAACAGGTTACGCTTTCCAAATGTTCAAAATGCTGCATATCACCGGTAGAAATAGTGTGGGTAAACTGCAAAATAAAGAAATCATTGGATTAGAATGAAATGTTGTTAAAAAAAACAAAACAAAACACAAACCATTTGCTAAGTTCCTCACAAACAACTCAGTAGTGTAGCAGTCATGCACCAAATTATTACCATGCCACAACATATACCATTTCATTGCATATTATTAATTTCAGTTGCAAAGTAAAGCACGAGGTCAAGTACTTCCTAGATTTTTCATTCTAGGTCATTTGCATCATAATCCTCCACACTGAGAATTTTCTAGTGTGTATATGGGTGAAGACACTAAACTTTGATGTCTTAAAACTAAGAACATTAACAAAACCCCTGAGATTATATACACTGACAGATCCACATAATTTTAGTTGCTGAGAACTCTCTAGAGCTAAACCTGTATGTGTGAAAAGGTTCAGGATTTGAAGAAAAGGCAGCCACTATACATGAGTTGGTACGGATTTTACTGGTGGAAAGAAAGAAGCTGTACACAGAAGAGATAGAGATGGGCAATTTATTCCCATAGATAACTGCTAGTGACAGTAAGAATATTTTTTCATTGGATTTCTTCTATACCCAACAATCCAAAATGTTAGTTTCCAAACTTGTTTGTAAAACAAGATTGTTAGATGAGAAAATACAGCAGAGGCTGCTGAAGAAAAAAATCAAGCCAAATCCTCATGACAGAACTGAATTCTAGTCTATTCACTAGCTGGAAGACATCCATTTTTTGTTTAAATATCCTTTGTTATCAAGCTGCTTCACTGTCACCACTGTTCCACAATTACCCAAACCTTGGACTGCAGGCAACTAAATCCAAACAGACAAACTAAACAATCGCAATGGTATGGAGTATGGAACTTGAAATCAATGTAGTTACCCCATAAAAATTCAATATGGAAGATATTGCAGTATATTTGACCAAAGACTGAAAGAATCTGAATCACAATACCGCAAACTGAGTTTTCTTTCCACTATATCCCTAATTTAGTTCCCTTCCTCCCCACTTTCACTAGCTGTTTCACTTCACCTTTGACTTCAGCGCTTTCTACACAGTCACTTGCATGCATAATCCTTTCTGAGGTGATTTAAAAAAAAAAAAAAAAGAGGAATATCACAATGTACAAAAGAAAATACTGAAACTCAGTTGTCTTTGTAAGAAATAAGCTTAATATTTTGAACAACCTACTCTGCAAGTTGAAAAACCTTTAAAATTTGTTCTATTAAAACGCCTGACACTTTACTCATAAATAGCTGCTTTACCATTACACCTATCAACTTTACTCACCAGAAGAAGGCTTTAACAGGAGTAGGTCCTTACTGTAGCAGAATCCAATCTTTGTGTTCCTGATACACTGCCTATTTCAAGAAGCATGGGAAAACATGCAGAACACAGCATGCATGTTAGTTTTCAAAAACCATCACAGCAGTGTGATTATAGCTACTACACTCACAAGTTACAAGTTAGAAAATCTAAATTTACTGTATATACTTTATATATTTTTCACTTCTAGTTTCTGTGGCTATTGAAAAGAATCCTAAAAAAGACCTGCATGCCAACTGGCACACGAACTGCCAGTGGTGTGTATATATATATATTCTAATACAGTAAGAAGAGGTGTTTTAATGTAAGAAAGTTTTATTTATACATAGTTTTTCATATGAATTCTGGAAGATGTTTTGTGCTAGTGAAAATCTTTAATGTAAACCAACTCACATTTTAAGTAGTAAAGGTAGTAACATCAGGTGTAAAGGGTGGTTCTTTGACTTTTACTCCCATATACTCCTCAGAACTTGAGACAACTCTGACAGACTATGAGGAAACTCACATCCTATCTATTCCAATTAAACATATTTTCAATCTATTTTTTACTTGTTTTGTAAGAAAAATTGAGAATTTATTCTCACGGTATTAGAGACTGGTTTTAAATCGACAATATAATTACTCTGACAGATCTCACTTCCAAGTGTTGTTTCTTTTCCTTTTCATACAGTGTTTTTGCTCCCTCTTTCTTTTTCCCTTTACAGAGAAGGGAGACATCCATCCGTATAAATCATTCTAATAAATAATTCTAAAATAGTGGTTACAAATACGCTCAATAGTTAAATGACCACTGGGGGGGAAGGAATGTACTTTTTTCTCAAGTTGTAATATTCTCAAAAATACCTGAGAGATATAACATTTCCTGAATGCATTTTACTGCATTTCAGATGTGGGACCAATTAAATTGGTCTAATTGCTACTAATTCAAAACCATGCGTCACATTACAAGACTTCTAACTAAATGCCCTTTCACTTTCCCAGTTTAGTAAAATTTCCTGAATATAATTATCTTTGTTATTCCAATGAAGTAAAAAGAACCTCCTTATCTAGCACAGTTCCTGAAATTACAAAGCACTCTGTGGTTAAACAGTGTTACAAATACAATCATGCACAAGGCAGATGCTTTTATGGAGCAAAAAAACTAACTTGAACTTCATTTCCCTATAATCTCAAGCAAGAAAGTGCATCATGCTTAAAATAATCTAAAGTAAATACCATCAATCTGCATCTTCTTTGGCTGCATAGAGGGTGAAGACATTGAGGTTGTAACTCTGAAATTTGCAGGAAGAGTCTCTGCTGATCCAGCAGCTAAACCTCTTATGTCCTTTGGTCTAAACTTCTTTCTCCATGAAGGTGCTCGCCTAAAGCTCTTATCATCATCCTGTTAAATTGATAAACATTAGCAGTTCAAAAATTTAGGATTGTTACCAACATTAAAAGGATTACTGACAATTTAGGTAAATACATCATCATTGAACGGCCTAATTTTCAACAGCTCAATTGCAATGGGTCACTTTTTTCAAAAATATGTGCTCATTTACTGGAGTGTAGGCTCTTCATCTAAGTAATTATGCAAATTCATGTGTTTGGCACATCTAGGAAACCCTTGTAGTTCAAATGTTTTTACTTCCCGATTTGTAGTAATTTGCATTGTACCGTCTAAGAATGAGTGATATGAAATGGAACATCTCATAAAAGCTACTTAAGAACATTTCAGCTTAAGCTGAACAGCTGTTTGTAACTTAAAATTTTGTTTTACAGGAGTGCTGATACAACTATAGCACGTTCTCATGCTACAAATTGAGGTAATCAGAGTGAGGAGAAAAAAGTTGAACAGCAGTAGTAAATACTGCCGTTCAGAGCAGCGGTTAATTGCCTTGGTAATTACAACTTAAAGATTCCCAAAGGATTCTTTCTGCATTCATATATCTGCATCTTTCAGAAGTATCACACTGTAATTAAATGCAACCGTTTAAATCACCCTGCCCAAAAATGCCTCTTCCAATGAATGTCAACGTACTATATCCACTGTCAATCTACACTTGTCAATTTCACCTTTAGAAACAATTCTATCTTTTGATTGCTGTTTTATATAATATATTACATTTTATAATTAAAATTAGGAGACACGTGCCTTCATTATTTGGAAAGATCTTCATAATCAAATACTTTTGCTGCTCATTGTAACCAGAACAGAGTAGAACACCCCTCCCTCAAAGCTCCATCTCCCACAATGAGAAATCACTACTGAAAAATAACTCAGAAAACTATCAAGCTGTTTTCTGTAGAGATGATTAAAAGCTTAGTGTAGATACATACTAGGCTATCAGGATGTGCCATAGAAGGGCTACAACAAGTCTAGTTTTGTATCTTTATTTTCTGTCACCCAAAACTGCAAACGATGCTTGAGGTGAGGCTGCACCAACACAGTTTCTCATACATAGCTTGTTAGAGCTTTGTACTACTTACATTGGAATAATGCATGTACACCGTAAATCACAGACTGTCTAATAAGAATCACTTGGATGAGCAAACATTTTTGGTCATTGTTCCACACTAGTATTAACAGATAGTAACTCAAGGATAACTTGAGTAACTTGGGATAAAGGTTTGAACTGTACTGTACAGACCTTCTCAGTTATACTTGATCGACCTGCAACGTCAGTAACTGTTTTCCCCACACTTTACATAGGAAAGAATGATTCAACGACAAGTGTGCTGCTAGTAGGCTTAACTACGCAAGCTTCAGATAAACTTGCAGAATCACCTCATGCTTTCACATTCAAAGTTATCTTACACAAAAACTGCCATATCCAAGAATTCACAACAAATTTACAAGTCCTTTTTTTGGTCACAATTTTGTCAGTAAATTGACAAGGGTCAAGCTACATTCTTTGACTTAGCAGTTCTGATATAATTCCTAGAAACACAGAACTCAAAAGCTCAAGAAACTTACTTCATCAAGTCTTCTGTCAGTGCCCATAATGAGAAGGTTATTAAATTCCCTCTCCAGAACAGCACGAGCCTAAAATTTAGAGTATGAAATAGAAAAAATGATTGTTAAAATTTCAGGAGCCTGTATTTCTTTTAAAACAAATTGTTGAAGATCTTCTAATCAGAGTATTAAACATTCTTAACACTTGAAAAGTAAGAGTGGTTAAGCTTTCTAAGTTGTAACATGAACAACAAAAAATGATACGTTTTACACTAATATTAAGATGGAATATGAGCAAAAGTTACAAACAGCATTCTTTTTTCAAGCAGATTTAACAACTAGAACTGTAACTAAGTAGAAAATAATTAAAGCATAGCTCCGTTTTTTCTTTTTACAGGAAAAACAATTAGGAACAACTTTCCATTTCCAATAGCCAGGAATACAAAGACACGTGCTTACCTAAAAAAAAAAAAAAAAAAAAAAAAGTTTCCATTTTTATCCTTTCTAAAGGGGAAAAAAAATACCCATCAACCATAATGTAAATCTTGCTTACCTGTGTGTTCTGCGTCGGTATTTGTAATAAGAGAGCTAATGCATTGTAATCAAATGTTTCATCTAAGGCCACAAGTGCACCATGAACTCCACTCTCTACAAGGTTATTCGCATATTCTTTGAGGCCAATGGACAATACCCAACGGATCATTCTATCGTTGCTCCACACAAGGACATCTATGCAGGAAAGAATTTGATTTATATAGTGAGACTTTTCTGAACAAAAAAATAAAAAAATACAGTCCTTTCTTGTTCTGCATGTTGGTGTAGGGATTGATATTCATGTATGCAGAACTCATTGTGATTGATGCTAAGCAGCAGCCCTAAAGGAATTCTGTTATTTAATATTCAGGATACAAATTAATCTCCCCCTACTTTTTTTGAGTGCACGAGATGGTCTGAATTGACAACAACACTTCATGTTTGGACTGCAATGGATTGTTTCCAGTCAGCAGTTTTTGCTACATCCATCACCACTGGATCTTGCACAACCTCCTCTCTCTGCCTACAGAGATTAGTCACATTATTTATGAGAAAAGTACAGTTGGGCAATAGTGTTCATGCAGGTAGGAATCAACATGGATCCTGTATTTTAAACTATCATTTTCAAGTGGCTTAACCTTACTTGCAACAGACTAAATATTTATTTTCTTTTGTACAACTCAGAAGTCCAATAGCAGTTTAATGCATTTCCTATTGAAACTGAACAGAAAAGCTTTATTATGTTTTATAATCTTATTTACCTTTAAGTTCTGACAGCATTCAATTTAGTAGCATACACTTTTGTATACACGCTACTATAATTTTCTGCAATTCTAAGTGGAAAGGAAATGTATTTGAATTTTGCTGAAGGACATTCACACTGTAAGAGTGCAAAGATCAACATACTGTTAATATACTGCCATTTTTTTCGAAGAAAAACACCATAAATTAGTACTTGTACAGCACTAATATCAAAACAATAATTATGTTCTTAATAGGTTTCTGGTGGTTTGTAGTTTTGTGTTGTTGTTAATTGTTTTTACACTACACAGGAGTATTTATACCAATCAAACCAAAACATTTTTGAGGCAGAATGGTGCAAGCAGAATGGATTCAGACTGAGGACAAAACTTTAGTCATTAACCTTTAACTTAACTATTGGTCACCAACCTTTAATTTCAGATTGGCTTTCCTCTCTTTTTCTTTCAAGTTCTTTTCGATCATAGTTCAGTCTTCTTAGGCACATAATTCCACACTGAAAACTGTTTCTGTTTAGAAAGGAAAAAAAGTTATTTAGAGGTAAACAAAATACTTGCTGTAGATGTTTGGTGTCCAGCTTAACCCATTTACCTGTGAAAACTGTCCACCATTTTAAGTTGGCCACGTAGATCTTTTTTAGTTAAGTGATCCAGCATTCGAGCATCAACAAGACATTCCATGAAATAGCTGCGATACTGAGGGAGCCCCAGACTAGGGAGCCATTCATTGCCAATCCACTCGTGGTTCATATCACCATATGCTAATGTCTGTTTTTAAGAAGTAAAACATAAGCTTATTAAAATGAGAAATAGAGAGAAAAGCTTTTTTAGACAACATATTTTAAAGATTGTGATAAAACAATGCTTATAGCGCTAAAAATTCCGTAAACACATCAAAAACATTAAACAGTACATGTAGGTTTTTGAAGAAGCTATCATCATGAAGTAAAGCAGGCCCAGACAGTCAGATCAGTAAGTAAAACTGCCCTAATATATATGTCATCTTAAAGAGTATGAAAAAAAATTATGCAACAACATTTAAAAACTAAGGTGTAACTGTTTCAGTAGCAAGACTCCCAGAACTTCATTTTGTTGAGCTGAAAATGCAGCGTTTCTTGAAAAGTGAAGGTGCTGAAAATATTGTCTCTTGAAAATTTAGCAGAAAAAGTAATTTTCTTAAAAAATTACTTAGCACAAAAATACATGATGGTTGAAAAATAACTGTAGTTGTTTGGCTTTTTTCTAATATGCCTAGCAGTTTTCAGAAGCAGGTCCCAATTATATAAGCAGAAATCAAAAAGTTCCCTATAGAAAAACCAATGACTCTAATTGCTAGCCCTCATTATAATGGTAGACTCCATTTAGACTCCACCTTCACACAGATCTGCAGATCACCAAACATTTTTTGTAGAACACTTCAGAAAACAATTTGAAACTAGGTATCTAAACATTCCTCAAGCAACAAAAAACAGCAGCTCTCTTTTTTCAAAAGAGAAGGCAGATAACTTATTTTTACTGCAGAAGTTAAGTTTTATTTCTTCTCTAGAGGAAACATCTTCTAGAAAGAAGTAAGGTGACACAAATGTATTTCTTCAAGCCATCACTGGGTAACAAAATTGAAAAAGCACATTATTTTTGTAATAGGGATACAAGCCGTGCTTGCTAACATAGACAATCTGCAAACGAGCACCTGAGAAAAAGTTAATGGGACTTCAACAGGTTTAAACTGGAAGGGAACCACATGAGAAGAGACTGTACCATCCAAAGATATAAGTCACGGGCAAATCCTGAGTCCTGTTTATATGCCTGTATAAAAAAACCTGAACTTTCTCAATGCCTGAAAATACAATTAGGATCTGTCAAACTTGAAGGGAAAACAATTAATCAAGGGGGATTACATAATTAGTGCACAGAAATCTTCTTAGTTGTCTAGGCTTACTATGCAGTACACCTGTGATGGTGGCTAGGTTGAGCAAGAACTTTCTGTACGCAACAGATATTCTCACTGGACTGGTGCCCCAAAGAGCCATTTCCACATTAAAAAATTCAAGGCTTTACATCATTACATTTTAATTTGATCTAGTTTGTTAAACACAAACATAATACCACAATGCTTGATAAGAATAAGTAACTTCATTTTGGATATTCAAAAGCTTGAGGACAAATGTTTTTGAAAGCTAATGATAAGAAAGCCTTTGGAATATTTTTCCCTTACCATTTCTATTTAGAAGTGGCACATATATAATTTTTTGTGATACATTATGTAATAAAAGATATTTTACAAATTTTGCCATGATGAACCACGTCTTGTGAGCTGTATAAAAACATTAACGCTTTTAAACAGCCTAAACATAAGTGTATCCTGTAACTCTGTACTACGTAAACATGTAGTTTCCCTCTTTCCCAGTCCCCATTCTACACCAAGAGTCACTCCATGAAATGGCAATCAAAGAAAATCAGATTCTTTCGTGCTCATTATGACAACACATTGCATGTAGTCTATAATATTATATAAAGTTTCCAACCTGAGCCCAGCTTCCCTCCTCATCTTCCTGTTACGTGGTTAGAAAAGCAAAAGAACACATATATTAGTACTTAAGTTTAGTAATGAGACAAAAGTTAAAGATGCACTGCAAACTCTAAGTCTACTGCATACAAAGAAAATCTACATAGTGCATGCATCATGCATTGTGAGAAATACACAAGACACTCATTGTCCCATAAGAATTTGGAAAACCATCTACTGATCAACTTTTCTGGAAGAGAAATAGAGAAATTTCTACACAAATAGATCAATTTTATCTCTCAGTTAAATCAAGTCAGCTTTTTTTTTTCTTTTTTTTTTTTTAAACAGATTCTAGAAAGTTTGTTGCTTGTGTGGTTTTTTTAATTTTGTTTTTTTTTTAAACAGTCTTATCAATGTTGATTTTTTTCCCATCTGGAAAAAAAAACACATCAATAATCAAATTGCAAGGTTAATGATTAGAAAAAGCCACAATGCAGAACTGTAATGCATTAATTTTTAAAAGGATAGAAAGAAGACCAAAGGGCCCTTGGTTCAGTAGTTCAAAAAGTGGGAAAAGCACTCTAACGAACAGAAGTGGCAACACCATAAACTAACCGTTTGTTGTGTGGCTGTAAGATTTTCCATTTCTTCATGTGTTACCCAGACATTTCCCGTGGTCTAACATGACCCCACAGTGAACCAATCACATCCAATGAAAGGAAAGCAGTAACAAAGAGGAAAGGTTGCAGAACATATAAGCAATCGGTACATATAAGGAGCAGGCATGGGCAAAAGCAATGGTTTCTAAAAGTTTTAAGTACAGGTCAATCTATCTAACATGACAGCATAGAATAAAAGGCCATTAACACAGATCACTTTTTCTTCAAAGATATTACACAACTGAACATGACAAGTAACTTTCATTGATGTAATTAGTGTACCAACATTTGACTGTGCTCTAATCCAAAACATGTATTTGTAGTCTTGTACATAACCTCAGAAATCCCAAAAATAACTTCAGACTGTAGAGTACACAGACTTGAGAGATGGAATTCAACTTTCAGTGTTTAAATTTAACACAATGTATAAGGTACAAGTGGACCCCTAATTCCACACAGTATGAATTACTAATCCAAATGAAAAGCCCTGCATACATGGATTTAAAAAAACTCTTTTTTACTACAAACTATTTTACAAATTTCTCTACAAACATGTGAACATCATCTGTATTATGTTTTGTTTCTAAGGTTAAAAGGAGAGACAAATAAGTATTCTAAGTATTTTTAATTGTATAATTACACTAATAGAAACTAGACTTATGGAAAGCACCACATTCTTAATTTCCAGAAAAGGAGGCAAAGTTGTTCTCCCTGTGATTTGATGTTCCTAGAAATTCTTACTTGAAGCTCAAATCCTTTCAGTTACATAATCATGAAAGAAGATTTAGAAATTCTAATGGTTCTGAAAGACATCTAGTGTTGGATCACTTTCCTTACCGTCCTTGAGGTGGGAGGGGCAGACGGACTTGTTAGTGACATGATCTCCTGAATGGCCAGTCTCAGCTTCAGTCTGTGCAGGGGATTACTAATTCCAATTTCACGCTGTATTTCCGTATCAGACAAAGCTGACATAATAGCACCACTTTTCACATTTGCTCGGCACGCAGCCACATACCAGGCTGGCATCCCTACCCACAGCTGAAACAAAAAAAAACCAGTAGTAACCAAATCTGGAAAGCACTCCTGGCCCCAAAATCTTAAGTTCCTTAAAAATAAGCATGTTCATTATTAACCTATTTTGGAGGGACTGCTTACCTCCAACCATACAACTACTGTAGGTCCATCCCATTGTGCAAAAGGTAAACCTTGTCTTCTGGCTTCCTCAAGCAACTCATGCCTATGATAATAAAAACAGTTCTTAATAAGAAGAACTAGTGTAAACAGTAACTTTAACACTGCAATCAAATTACTATCTTCTTGCAAACAGCCATTTTTCTTCACTTCCCAGCCTAAGAGGCACAACGATATAACCAGTAAGGCAGTCACGAGAAATAGACAAGGACTACATAGAGAAATAAGCTGAGCTGGATGGGGAATCTCTGTGTGGCAGAGATGCCGGGTTTTGCCTTTAAGAAAACTACAGAAAAACCTGTCTCAAACCACTACTGACACTCAGGCCAAAGCTGCCACCACAAGGTGGAGATGTCTGACTTATCTCTGACAGTTAGATTCTGGATTGCTGCAGTTTTCTAGAACCTCCCAGTAATTCATCCCAGCTAAACACACTACTAAGGAATGAAATAAACCAGAGGAGGAACCATCATGTAGCTGGTTACAAGCAGCCATTCTAGTATACCTATTTTAAAATCCAATAGTGCTGAAACAGCATTCAACAATTAGCAGCTCAATAATTAGATTACACTTACAAAAAAGAGAAGACTTTAAAAGCTAATACTGATTTGTACACTTCCGAAATATTCATATCTCAAAAGTAAAAACAGATCATGGTTTCCTCCTAGCACAGAACATACACTACATTGATCTCACAAATCATCAGCCCTAAATACATTGCATTGCTTTGCCTTACTCAGTATTTTTCTGCTTTTAATTTTTAAATAAAGATTCTATAAAACATTGCTTGGTAAGAAGATATTAAAATGCTTAATGCTGTATTTGCCAGAAAGGAATACAATGTTTTTCCGAAGCAGTTAAATTTTGAAACTGGTGGTTCTGTTGTCCTTTTGGTTAAGTACAGTAACTCGCTCATGCGGTGAGGGAGGTGCACTGGTGACAAAGGAGCACAGATATGCTCAGAGAATCCCAAAGATGACCTCAGGCAGGCATGTGAGCACTGCCTCCCCTCCTCCTACTGGCTCACAAAGCTTTCTGGGGCATGCAGTTCAGAGAATTGCTGCAGTAATTTCTTGTCATTTCAATAGCCTCCCTGCATGCTTTAGGTTAACTATGAAAGAGTAATTGATTTAGAGGTGAGCAGTACAGGGAAAGCACTGAAAGAGTAAGGTGAAGTTATGATGCAGTCATATTACTGCATGCAGAAAATAGTTGTGTTGATGGAAGGAAATGTGATGGAAGTAAATGTGGAAAAATAAGCAAAACAATGTTTATTGGAAGTTTACTCGAATTATTTAATGGATCCAAAAAGTAATGCTTCCATGAAGCAGAATGTTATATGCAGAGTTTGTTCATATACAGTAAGAGATACAAACTCACTTAGATGGGAAATTATTAAACCGAAATTTCAAGACATCTCTTGGGAAGAATTAAGAAGTAGCTGCTGTTGGCATTTGTAAGAGATGCATCAACATTTTGCCTACAGCAGGGAATGTCACTTTTCCAAAAATTATCTTCCAGCTTCACCAGAAAATCACTGTGCTCCAGCAGTGAATGATCAAGCTACATAAATAGCACAACTGACATATCAATTTAGTGGCACATCATCCAATTAGACTTTTTTTTTTTTTAAATGGGTGCAAAATCCATCCTCATATTATCTTTGTCTACTGCAATGACATTTTCAGTATTAACAGATGGCAGATACATAGTTACTACTTTGTAACTTGAAACACCAGATCTCAAAGGGGCAGCTTACTACTGGAATTTAAGTAACAAAACCAAGGGATGGGCATCTAAAATTGGTTGAGTGTTACTTAGAATGGGAGACAAATTGAGGAAAGCTAGTTGTTACATATATTCAAAAGGAGTCTAATGTCAGCCATAGAGAAATTGTGGTCATATAGGAAGAAAGCCAATATAAAAAATGCAGGTGCTAGGTGCAGTAGTGAACAAAGTGGCCCTTCGAAAACCATCTGAAGTAACTGTATTTACAATGGCTCCCAGCAGGCAAGCATGCTCTGACCCACAAGGAAATAAAGCAGCATGCAAATTCCATGCAACAGCACTGTCACTAGATGGGAACATAAATCTAGAACTCATAGCCAAATGGCATTGCTGTAATCCAAGTTTCTTGGTCCGAATCAGAGGTAACAGATTTGGAAGAAGCTAAGAAAACACTAAGGAAAATACTAAGGAAAAAAAGTAAAGGCGATGAAGAGAGCAATAATGGTAGAAATGACAAAGAGTTCTATGGTGTAAAAACTGAAAGGCAACAGTAGAAAAATGAAATGAAAATACACTAACTTCAGGCAGACCAATAGTGTAATTTTCTTATGTAGCATTAATAGGTATGTAAACTTCGTGCATGACTTTTTTTTTTTTAAAGTAAAGATACCTTAAACTGAAAGTAGCCTTCCTTCTTAGTTAATACAGTATTAAGCTTGTAATGATGAACAGGAAGCACTAAGACAGTGGTGGCAAACAGCTTCAGCAGTACAGCTCACAAAGATGAACAGCACGAACATCATATTAAAAGCAACTCACATTTAGTAAGCAAAGAGCATACTTTAAATAAATATATCTACCCTCAAATTGAATCACCATGACTATCAACTACTCCCCAAGCAACTTTCAAAACCCAAATTACAAACTTTCAAAGACTTAATATTTCCATTGTAAACGAAAAAACCACACCATGCAAATTAAGGCAAAACACACAGCTAGCATTAAGACAACACGGGATACATTTCAGCAACACACTTCCACGACAATTTCTTCTGAATCTAATCTCTCTCCTCAGAATTAGACTTCTTTCAAAAAAAGTTAGCACTTTTCAGACTAAAAAATCCAAGCAAGATTCATCATAATTTCACAATAATCCTAGTAAATCAAACTTACCCTGATTTTGCACTACCACAAATGGTAAACAAAAAGAAAACGAAACAAAGAAAAATATAAAACCAAGATTAAACTGAAAACAAAGGTATACAAAAATAGACAAAGAATGCATACAATTTAATTCTGTCACTATGTTTTGTTAGAAAAGACACTGAATACTGCTCTCACCCCTTTTGTGTACATGCTACTCTCAGCACTATGTACCATTTGTCACAAGATTCTTCATCAACACAAATGAAGGTACTACACTGTGAATATATATGTTTCTATGTATAGCTAGCAAGTTAATTTCCAACTCTCACATACAGAAGCTTTCACATCAAGCAACCAACAACACGGCATCCACTAGGTATATTTATATATTGGTTATTAACATATTCTGCCCTTCAAAAATTTACTAAGAAACTTTATGATCTACCTGCAACTGTACTTATTGTAATATTAAGACAGCATAGACTGCTCTACTCTAGAATTCAATTTGTCACTACTGTTGATAAAAATCTATACTGTTCCAAGAATAGGCCTACCACTATTTGTACGTGGCCAGATTAAAACAATTTAGGCAAGCAAGATGTGGTACAACTTTAAAGCTCTGCAGAAAAAGCAAAATATCACCCTACAGTAAAGTGCAATTGCCTTCACTGTAGAAGTTTGAAGAAAAACAGCTGAGCCTACTGTTATGCAAACAAAACCACATTCCATTCTGACTTTTCAAACCAGCATGCTGCTGGTTTTCATTAGTAAAGTGACCAGGCATTATTTTTATTTGCTAATAGAACTTAAGTACTGCAAGAAATCTCTCTTGTAAAGAGAAATTTATCACGTTGCCATTCTAACATACATTACTTAATCTTCAGAAGGCAAGTCAAAAAGTCAAAACATTTCTGATCTCAGACAGCTTTTTTAGCTGAGAATAATGGCAGCTGACACAATAAAAGCACCAGAACTATGAAGTACAAACTAAGCTTTGGGGGAAAAAAAATGTAAAGAATGCCTGATCCTACTGATACAATTCAGGTGTTTCCTGTATTACCATATAAACATCAAATCAAAATTCCTAACAGTATCTGCTCTCACCTACACCTTGCTGTATCTTTTCTAAGTCAAGGAATAACAGAACATGCAGTAGGTAGTCAGTGGTGAATTTCAAAGGTTTGCTTGGACACTTTGGAAAAAATTCTCATCAGTAGGAAAAAATAACCACATATCATAGGTGCCTGAAAGGAAGTAGAGTCAGAGTTCATTAAATAGAGGAAATAAGGAGTATAAGGTGAAAACAGATTTGAATTGCTGTAATATGAAGTGAAAAATATCAAGATAATGTGAGGGGAAAAAAAACAACCAACACAATTAGCAACTACAACACAAAAGGAAACTGGTTCTGAGCCACTTGTTACAAAAGACAAGCCAATACATACAAGAATGCCCTGTAGTGAACTTTTCATGCTTTCATACTGCACTCCAACAACAAGCAATTGTCAAAGCACTTTAGAAAGTCTTCCCAATGAACTGAATTCAAAGCAGGAATTAAATAAAATACTGTAGGACAGTTTGATAAGAGTCTGCTTTTAAGCAACAAGTGTTCACCAACTAATCCTTTCCAAACTTACCAAGACTACACTATCACTAATGATCTGGAAAAACAAGGAAAAAAGAAATTAACAGAGGCTTAAGAGTCACAGCACCATACTGGGGAAAAATACCCGAAAACACAAAACTGAAAACAAAGCATTTTTGAACAAGGCAGTACCTTGTAGAATTAATAGAGAATTAAAAATATTTGATAACTTACTTTTTCTGCATTTTTCTGTTTTTTTCTGCCTGACCTCCAAGTTTGCTAAGGCCTAATGCATCCTGAGAGGAACTATCTGCCTCTGCCATGCCAACTGCAAAGAAAGAAAAGAAAAACAAAACAAAACAAAAAAAACACAGTCTTGTTATTTTCTCAGTTTTGGTCACATGGTTATAGATAAAAATCACTATTGTTTCCTCATGCAAAAATATTTAATTCTTTGTAATGTTACTGACACTGTTTTTAACCAGGAAATTTCTTTCCGCTTAAATGGCAGATAAAAAGTTTTTCCCCTGTCAAGCCCATAAAAGACAAACCAGATAAAATCTTTTGTACGATTATCTTACAGATGTGCTTGAGCTTAGAGTTTCTTTAAGTATTTATCATAATCATACTTTATAGCCTTATACCACCTTCAGTTATCAACAATCCTTTGGTGACACAGCATATTCAGATCTACAACAAACCCCAAAAATGTATAAAGGAATACTGCAACTAGAAGAGCAGTACAGAAATAGCAGCGACTGTGGTGAACAGTGGAGTGAGGACAGCAAGAAGAAAACTGTGCAAATGCTCTTCTAAATATTTTTTCTGTGTTTAAGTCTTAATGGCAAAACATTTACAGAGAAGAGCTTTACTGGTCATAGGACATCTCACCCATAGATGACATCTAAGCATTTGAACCAGGAAGTGATATGGATGCTTTGTTGGAAATTCCAAGAAGTGACTGTACAAAACCAACTGGAATATTTGTGAAGTAAATCATGACATGTTTACCAGCCCTGTTAAGTATTTCACATTGATTAAAAAGACTCAGTTGACCTTTAGCAGTCAATACAGCTGGTTATTTGGATAATGGAGCTAACTATCAATTTTAGCTGCACAGCTTCATTTAACTTCATTTGGTTTTACTATATTGCTGGTTGAACACCTATAGAAAGTTAGGAAATGTAAAGGAAGGGTCAACTCTTAAGGGTACAGAATAGCGTATTTCAAAGCATCTCCTTCATTGGAGAATTATGTCAAGACCGACATGGGAAATATAAAAGATCTGTAATCCCCTTCTGAGGGTGGCTACAGCCACTGCATCTTTGCTCTGGTTTTCACTGCTCTCCCTGCAGATTGTCTGTCCCAGCTTCATCAACAGCTACTTTCTGCTGACTGGATGGCACTGCTGAAGCCTGCAATCAACTTTTCATCACACGTGCCTACAGCTGTAGCTTTATACACACCATCACCCCAACAGATTATTCTTGTCATGTCCTCTTCGGTGAAACCACATCAAATAATTGTAATAAACCATGTCAAAACAGTCCCTTTTACAAAAAAGAGCTTTTATGAAACAAATACAAAAGAGATGACTTGCCATATTTTGTCCTGGTGGATCACTTATGTATGCAAATGGCCAGAATCTTTACCATGTTAAACAAAAACTTTTTTGGATTTCATATACTCCACAATATTAGTTGTGTTGCTAGCATTGTATATAGCTTTCATAATAACGTAAAGGTCAATCACACTCAAATGTGTAGAGAGCAATGCATTTTATGCAGGAATCACAGGAATAAATATGCTTTCCTAGAAGAAAAAGGCATGCTAAAAGATAGCAATACCTGACTCACTGAGCTTGGACATAAAAAGACCTGCCAAAAGACTCAGTGTCTAATTTGATAACACATGTACACAAACAACTACATACTCTGTCAAATATACATATACTGACGTGCATCCTAAAATTCAGCCTTTCGCTGAAGAAAAAAAATAAAGAAGGCAAACCAACCTTGTCCTAATGCTTCCTTGCTTGTTTGTCCGGGTCGTCCCTTTTCTTTCTTGCCAAACAAGCGGCCAATAGAGGATTTAATCCCCTTCTTTTTGGGGGCTTTGTGAAGGGAATCTTGGCTACTATTGCTGCTACTAGGATTACTTGCTTGACCATCCTGTGAGCCGGTTGAACTTTCACAAAAACAAAACAAAGGAAAAAAGGAGTCAAACAAACTGGTTTACCTACACGCTCACTGTCACTACATAGTGAAAGACAACTTCTGATTTCCATGAAAGTTCACAAAAGATCAGTGGCTTACTAGTAACATGTAATTTCAGATTTGATGAATATCACAAGAAGAAACTGATATGCCAAAATAAACAGAGAAAAACATTAAACATTAACCATGAAACAGAGAAAAACAAGGGAAAGAATAGAAGGGGTAGGATATTTAGATATTATATAAAAGAACTTATTTATTGAAGAATTAAAGTGTTTAAAGTGCAATTCAGGAAAGCCAAAGCTGACAATGCATTTCCTTTCAAATGAAGCTGACAATGGAAGTTTGAAATGCTTGAAAATACTTGAGATGCTTGAAAAACCGCACACCAACTGAAATTATTTTTTCAACTTTCTTATTTATAGATAAACTGCAATCTGTGAAAGAGGATGTGAAGCACACACCTAATGCAGACTTGATGCCAAAAGGATCATTCACAAAAAACATTTCCAATCATTAAAATCTGTACTGTTTATTCAACACTCACTCATTTATGTGGTCTTATTCTTTTATTTCTTGAGACACTGATAACTAGATTAAAATCTAAAATTGCAAAGCTGCTCAGCCTATAAGAATTTTACTCTGATGATGTGAAATAGCAACTAACATTACTAGTAGGACTGATTTATTTATAGCTACTTACTTTCTTATGTCCCTGATATCTTCGTGGCTCACCGTATGCAAAGCTCCTTTTTGGACTCTGTCCAAACGCAAAGATCGAGGTGAAGAAGGTGGGGATGTCTCACATTTTATTGTCGCTTTATCATCACGTACCTCTTCTCTAGAAGCTGGAGACTAATGGAGAACAAATGAAATTTGAGGGTTTTGTTGGATTACACTAAAATATGAAAGCAATATTAACAACACAAAATACATTAGAAGGAAATTCAATAATTTCCAAGTTAAAGAGTTACTCTTGCCCTTACTATTCCACAATTGCCTGGTTCTCATTTGAACTTCTGAATTATTTTCTTTTTTAACCTTGACTGACAAACCACTATATTTCAGACTTAGCTAGTGAAATGAGCAAGCAGCCATCTTTTGTTCATTCACAGATCTAACAACTAAAGTAATGTCATCAGCTCCACGAAACCAACATAGCTGGCTTCGGTTTACGCAGACTGCAAATGCTAATAAAAGTTTCTGGGAAAAGAAGTTCTTGCTGTCATGTTTAGATAAGCATCAGCAAAACTACCAATTCTATAAAGTCAGTTTCTATGTACCTGTAGCCTTGGCTAATCTTCTGTTTGAAGAACAGAAACTACAATTTGTGTATGCATTAATAGATCCCTGAAATTAAATATTCTTTCATTAAGATTGCAAAACAGCAACTACAAACAACACAGTTGTACCACGTAGCAGCAAAAGAAAACAAAACCCTCAAAAACAAATGACCAAACCAACACTTTCTGCTAAAAGCCATTTTACATTTAATGTCAAAAAAACTTATAATCTTTATCATACAGTTAACCAGCAAATTCTCTCATATGCTTCTGGTATCCATTAACAAGTCGAGAGAAGAGTAAGCAAATGAAGGGGCACAGCAGTAAATAAACTAAAGATTTTACCTTTCTACGGTGTTTCCTTAAATCACTAGGCTGAAAGAGGCGTGCAAAAAAAAATTTGGAAAAGCCATATTTATTGTAAACTGTAGCATAAACTGAAATGACTTCCACAGACAAAATACAGCAGGGAGAATTTAAAACAACTACAGCAACAGCACAGAGAAACATAAGAGAATGAAGCATTCTTCAATCACAGCAGTATTTAAAAATGTATGCCTGAAGACAGAAAAGGAAGGAAAATAATCAAGATTTATACTTGATTGCCTACAGAAGTACTCTAGATATTTCAATACAGTGGTACTGTACGCGAAACTAGCACACAAGATGTGCACTTTCTCTTTAGCAAGAGAAACAGTGGAGCATTTTGGGGCATGAGTTGTTTCCTTTAAAACAGGATATCCAGTTTTATGTCAAGGGCTCTTTTCCCTTTGAAGAACATGACCTACACGTAGCAACAGCAGGCACAGAGCTTAACAACTCGCCAGTATTTCATTCCCAACACCTTAGCAGTTGCGCTAAATAGCATAAAAAGCAGTTGAACTTTAATAACTGTGGAAGAGCACCCATAGCTCATTTCGACACAATAACAACGCTCTTTTCACAAAGTTTAATGTGATGATAAGCTTGTGTCATGGTTCTATGTTTTTTGTTTGTTTGTATTTTTGCGTTTCAGTATTCCACATCAAAACATCATGTAGTGTACGGGGTATTAAAGTGTTAATGCCCAATCCCAAGTACCTATCCCTGTACATGACAGAAGTCACAGGATCTGGCCCTTCTGGGTGGGGGGGGGCGCTCTCTTGCTGCCTTGCAGTGGGTGCTGGAGGGTGCTTTCCTAGCCGTTCCAAGCTTTTCAGGTTTGACTTGGTCCCGGGAACTCTCTCTCTCATCTTGTCTGATTTATTAATCTCAATTTCTATTAAATTGTATTATATTTTGTTATCCTGTATTCCGATATTATAGTAAAATAAGTTTTCCTCCATAGATTGTTGCCACTGTTCTTTTCCTCCCTTCCTTCCTTCCCATTTTTTGTGGGACTGGGGTGGGGGGGGAGGGCAGAGGCCTGTCGCCCGTCACACACATAGATTGATCTGATCAACTCTGTGACAGCTTGATTCAGATTCTACTGTCAGTTTCACCTAATCATCCACCCGCTCCAGAACCCACTGTATTTCACTTCTTAGGTACTTCTCAATTCCGCTACCACTCAGATCAAAATAGCAACCTTGAGTTGTGTGAACAACTTAACAGGTTATTCAGGTTAATATTGACAAATACTAAACTTAGATTATTTGTCACCATTGTATTTGGCAATTCATTATTTCAGAAGACTGTAAACCAAAAATAAAGTCATAAAAATAGCCAGCAGCCTTCAGACATTTTTTGCTGTTTTGTTGTCGGTGGTGTTTTTAAAATCAATACCAACTTCTAAATATCTTCTTATTAGAATGGACTACACAAACTACACAAAATTAAGAAGTTTTGTTGTTGTACTATGACTGTACAGTTGAGTATAAAACAACTTCTGAGAGAAATAACATCAGATTCATATCCAATTTTCCGGCTTTTTCCTCTATTAAATTTGATACAACAAAAATCTGAAAATGTCTGCAATATGGAATGAAAAATATTCATGCAAATTGTTGAAGAGAGATACATAAGCTTCAGAATTGATTAAGTTGATACCTTTTAAACTAGATGAGGAGTTTTCAGCTGAATGTACTGCCCAACACTACTTTAGTTATCTAATTAAGCTAATGCTTCCATCATACTCAAACTACTGCAGCTGTCAAAAATTATAAGAACTCATTCTGTCTCATAATTCCCAGTAGGTTTTCTAAAAGTTTCTAGAAACGTTTTGTTCAATAATTCTAGAAGCACAGCTTATTATTGTGAGAGTAAGGATATAAAGCAATCCACCTCTTGAAATATGTTAATTTATGCAAAATAAAGATGTGCTTGACACTGGATATATGATCTGAGCCATTATAATTTGTTTTTTTGTTTGTTTGGTTTTTTTGTTTTTTTTTGAATACAAAAATGGCAAACAATTCTTTTTTATGGAAAAAACCTTGCATTACATACAAAATTATTACACGTTCATTACAAAAAGCTGGAAAAATAGGTGGCAGAAATGCTTGTTTTTAAACTCCTATCAGAGAGCTAGATTAGATACGACAATCTGTTGCAGCCTGCCTGCTGTTGCAGTGTTGGATAGCATTCCTTGTCCACTGAATCTTACAGTCATGATACATGTGCAATAATCCAAGACAAAGTGTAGTAACCATGACGTTGCACATACAACTATTAAGCAAAGGTTCCAAATCTGGAGACAAAGCAATGTATATAGACAGAAATATTTGTTTAATTCTGACATATTTCTCAGTGAAACACGTTCCATCTGTTAAGGAGATAGATTTGTCTAAAATTTATATAAACAAGAAGACGGAAAACCGGTCTTCCTTTTACAGGTAGACTTACTGCGTGAAACACCTCCTAGAAGGATTAATTTTCCTAAGCAGTTGTAGAAAGGTCAAAAGAACGGATCCATCCTTCCCTACTCACTGCAAAGACCAAGCTGCTACTACACCAGCTACTAAGTCTAACATATTTACCTACATGTTTAATAGGCTAAGAAAAGACACTAGCACTCAATATTACCACAGTGACATCTTACAAACTTCAAGATTAATATAAGACATGCAAATTATGCTTTAGTTGAATATTTAGCTAAAAAAAAAAAAAAAGACATTAAAACTAAAGCTTAAAACAGACAGTAACTTGTTGCTGGAGTGAGGGTTAAAAAGAAAACATTTATTTCTTCCAGAGAGAGTAATGAAGAAAAATCACAGCAAAAGGAATACTTCAGTATGAAATGCTGACCAGTACAATGAATTCTGAACATTCTGCTGGTTTGTTTGTTTTCTTTACAAGGAGAGTGGTTAGGCCCTGGAATGGGCTGCCCAGGGAGGTTGTGGATGCCCCGTCCCTGGACGTGTTCAAGGCTACGTTGGACGGGGTCCTGGGCAACCTGATCTGAATGTGTATGTTTGGTGGCCCTGCTAGGCAGGGGGGTTGAAACTACATGATCCTTGAGGTCCCTTCCAACCTGGATGATTCTGTGAGAGTTGGGCCATGCACGACAGTGGCACTTACACAAACGGGACATCATTACCCCTTGCTGTGGCTGTAGGGGAAGAGGACACTGCAAGGCTTCCACTGCGCAGAGAACACAGAGCTGTCAGCTGTGGTTCAGGGGATGTTTCCTTCACAGGTTACAGAAGCCCACTTTAGCCAAGGAGAAGTAATAATTATTCTCAGAGAGGTGAGATCGCTTCTCTTTGAAAGGGTAGATAACAGCAGGGCAAAGGGAAATGGTTTTAAGTTGAAGGAGGGAAGATTTAGGCTGGATGTCAGGGGGAAATTCTTTACAGAGAGAGTGGTGAGGTGCTGGAACAGCTGCCCAGAGAGGCTGTGGATGCTCCATCCCTGGAGGTGTTCAAGGCCAGGTTGGATGGGGCACTGGGCAGCCTGGTCTGGTATTAAATGGGGAGGTTGGTGGCCCTGCATGTGGCAGGGGGTTGGAGCTTCATGACCCTTGAGGTCCCTTCCAACCCTGGCCATGCTGTGATTCTGTTTGGTAATCATTATGATTTTACCTCACTCTTTTTACAGAAGTTGAAAGGAAGCAGTAGAAAAAAATAGAGAAAGGACAAACAGAGGTAAGCAAGAAGCAGAGGAAGGGGAGAATCAAATGTATTTCCTACAGGAAAAGAACAGTCCCCTGGAAAAATAAAGTTAGTGGATACTTACCAGTGTCATGATACCTAGTCTGTCCACTTCCCTAGCTGGGCTATGCGGAATCCGCCTTGGGGTGGAGCGGCCACTGCCAGGTGGGGAAGAACCAGCAAGGGAACCACTTGCATAGGGAGGAGGAATGGAGCTCATGGACCTGAATCGGCCATGGGCATCCAAGCTCCCACTACCCACTCTGCTTTCAATTTCCTCTGCACGCTGTTCAGTGTTTTCCTTTTCTTCCTGTATAAGCCTGAAAGAAAAAAGGGTTCCAAAGGAACATGGCATTCAAACAAGTACCGTATAAACAGAATGGCCCCACTCAAGCATTCTGAAAAGCAGCAGCACTTGACAGACAAAACAACTGTACTGAAAATTTGGTAATCCAACCTGAAAAGAGGTTGTAAACACTACAACTATTACCACCATGCAGAGGTTTCTGTCCAACTAGCAATACAATCCCTTCCACAAATGAGACTGAAGACCTGAAAGGAATACTTAAAGCACAGGCAATCTAGTTTTTTTGTTTGTTCATCAATTCCCACTCTCCCAGTCTCCCAAAGGAAAGTGAATGAGCAAACAACTCTGTGAGTAACCATATAAAAAGGATTTCTTGTGTTACACATTACTTTTCAGTAAAAATGTAACAGCAGATATGCCATACCTAATCTCTTTGTTAATTGCATCCAGCTGTTCCTGAAGCATCATGGCCAAAGTCTGAGCATCAGCCTGACCACTTGGTGACAGCAGATCAACTGAACTGAATATAGTCTCCCTGTCATCCTCACCATCAGACACATCGACATCACTTTCAAATGCTTGTGCCACGTTTGCCAATACACTTGCTTGCTGGGCTCGCTCCCAGTCCTGCTCATTCAGAGTTTGAACCTGTTACAGGAGAATTAAAGAAAAACTCAGATGTGAAATGTGATATTTCTACTATTTTTCAAGATATTTAAATAATATTTTTAAAAGTCCACTTACATGCTGAATGCATCCATCAAGATAACAACGTTTAGAGAGATGTAAAACAAAAACCTATGACATAGAAAACTTTGCCTCTTACAGGTAAGTACAGTTTAAAACAGCCAGACCCAATAGATAAAACACCATTATCTTAGCTATACGCATTCTCAACAGATTTTTGCTAACAATGAAAACACATTCAAATCAGCTTTTTGTAAAAGTAGAACTTGCAAGACTGGGTTGCAGGACAAGAAGTGTTAGATCAGTGAACGAAAGTTGAAATCCCAAGTGTAGAGACACAAAGGAAGGACTCTTATATTGCACAGATTTTTCATACTTGAAGGAAATTGGACTTTACAGCCCCAAAATTGCAGACTGGAATGGACTGGACTGGAATTATACAGCCTAGTAGCCTTGTATTAGTGAAGTAGAATATCTAAACACATCTTAAAGTGTGTTTTCATATACAAGATCCAGCCCCTTTATTGCTGTGTAATCCTATTCCACCAACTCCTTGCAACTTGTTAACATCATCTAATCTGCTTTGTTGCCATCACTTCCTTTCAGAGTTCTATTACCTTTGAAGGCTCATCTCTGAGAGCTGCCAAACGCCCCTTCTGAGGACGCCTCAGCACAGAAGAGGTGCCATAAGAGTCTGCATGACTGTCAGCCACAGATGAAGATGCCATTGGGTATCTGAAATCTGGCCGGCTAAGACAGGAAGAAACACTATCATTAGCAAGATGGGGAGAGGAGTGAAACAAGCTAAGAAAACCACCCAAATGATTTCCATTGTACCCTCAGTGCCTTTTTTTATTTTTTTCTTTTTTGAAGTGGTGTAATAGCTGCTTTATCTGCTCTATAAAGTATGTTGTATAGCTACAACTGAAGCGTTTTCCTTTACAATAGGTAAAGTTTTTTGTTTCCTCCTTTTTTCTTTTTTTTCCTTCAGGAAATCAGAAAAAAAGATCATTGAACTACAATTAAGTGCTTGTACCTATGATGAAGTGATGTGGCTCTGAGTCTCACTTGGTCATTTTCAGCCCTTAGCGCGTCAATACTTAATATAAGTTTATCCTGTAAAAACAGACACAACGTGTAACAATGTGCATTAAAAAATTCAGCATCAGATCCTAATATATAAGTAAAGATTTAGCCCACTGATCTCATTTCTATGAAACTCAAATATAAATAGTTTTAAAACATAGCTTTGAACAACATAAAACCAAAATGATTTTTGCTACAAAGCACAGCACCATCGCAAAAGGTCATCCAAAGATAATTCTTGGCTCTCTACACTGTGACTTTGTATACATACTCTAAAAGCAGCTACTGAACAAAATTCACACATTACTAACCTTAGGAAAATAAAATGGCAATATTTAATACGAACCAAGATTTGTCAAGTTGTGAAAAACAAGTCCTAAAAGCATCCACTTTTAACTCTACTCATAAATGCTGTAAAAGTTTGAATTTAACAAAGCAATCCAATGAATGAGAGAACAATGAAAGCCCGTGGAAAGTGGCTGATGATTAACATCTGTGCCTTGTGTGAAAACTAGTGGCCTACATAAAAATTTGAAGCACATCCTACAAAATATTCTGAATATGTTCTTCATTTTGTTACAAAATCACAGCCTCCAATATTTTGGCCTAGCTACTTACTAGAACGATCTGGGGAGATGCAGTACACTTGTGATTTAATAAGCAATAACAAGTATTATTTCAGAACAGTGTGATCATAAAATGAATCATCACTGCTTAAGGAAGCAAAAAAAAATGAAAGGCCCCACCACTATTATTCAAGAAGTGAATTTGCCAGTTACAGAGCCAGTCACTACTGCAAAGGAATAACCAAGTCTAATAAATCTCTCTCATAATTTTAAGACAATTTTATCAACAAGCATCTTACGATTTCCACTGCTTTAAGTATACACCTAAGGGAAAATACCCACTGTTAAAGTATTTCTCTTTTCTTTTTACTGTTCATAGTTTTATTTATAAACAGCAAATTAAAAAATACTATGCAAACTTTAAACTTCAGCAAATTGCCAATATATCCATCCACTTTGCATATTCAGAACTGTGTTACGTCTGAGGAAAAAAATATCTATGAAAACTTAACAAAATTGAAGCAAACCGTATTACAAAATAAAAAAAAAATTCAGCCCTCAAAATTGTTATTTTTGGACTAAATAGCATTAATAATGTTGAGCTTTATGGGGCAAGCCAAATCTGCTTCTGCTATGCAGCAACACAGCAATTATTTGCCAACATAACATTTCAAAAATGCATATTATACCTTCTCATGCTGAAGTTCCTCTATTTGTTTTTTTGCATTTTCAATTTCTCGCAGAAGTGAATTCTAAAACAAAATGTATCACAAGTTATTTATAAAAGCTTACCACTCCTAAACCATAACCAATAGGAGTTACTAACAAACTTTGGTCATACTGTACAGATGCATCTTAATTTAGCAGATAGTTTACTTCTTTATCTTTATCTACTATGTTTAGCAGGTACTTTACTTTTGAGATCACACCTCAAAAAATCTTTTACATATACAGCTCTGTAAATAATGGATTTACTAACAGCAGAAACGTTTCTATGTGTATGTATATACAAAATACAAATACTTTACTTGATCAAAAAACAAACAGTAATTATGCAGCTAAAGAACTTACTATCTGTTTAGTCTTTGGTTACTAAGGTATTACTGGCTATTATCATTTTGCTTTTGAATTTTCATTTTGCTTTCACTTTTCTGATCAACAAAATTACTATAAACGCAAGAGCTGTTTTCTTCACAATTATGTTGCAACTTTTAAACAGCTCCAATAAAGGTACTTACAACTACTATAATCTGTTTGCTCAAAACAGTTCCCAAATTCAAATTAAGAATCATCTGAGAGCTACAACAATCAAAAAGATTTAACTAACGTGACCACAGTAAATGATTTTAAACAAAAGTCAAAAGATTCCCCCTTCTAATAGTAAATTTATAACCACCTCATGTATTCTTTGCTTTCCAAAGTTGCCAAGAAGTTCTGCTAAGCACATTTCCTTGAGATGAGTAATACAATTATTTGCATTTTAAACCTGTAATAAGATTTCGTAAGTGAACAAACAAATCATTCTGGGAAAAGAGCTTCAGTGATCAGAAGGAAAGTACTGAAGTTTTATATGCACCTTTCTTTCCAATTTATTGGAAGAATGAGCTGGAAGCCATTCCAGGGAGAATTTTTTTCTAGAAGCTGTTACTGACAGTAAGGAACAACTAAATCTCTCTCGTTATTCATGAATGTAGTTCAAATTTGAGGGGAAAATAAGTGCTTTAGGTTAACTCCAATGCATCTTTCCCAATGTTGGCCATAAAAAGAAAAAATGCCATCAGCTGCTTCTCAGAAATTGAATTTATGAACACTGTCAGAGCAACCTTAACAGTAAGGCCCATAACAAGAGAGTCAGAAGTACTGGGAGCAGCTGGTGATCTCGAAAATAGCAATCTTAAAACCTAGAAGGCAAAAGTCTATGGCCTTAGATATCAGATAACTGACCTCCCAGTCCATGACAGGTGAGTTGGAAATAGATGATCTTTAAGGTCCTTTCCAACTCAAATCATTCTATGTTCATACAGGAAGCATTCTTCACCATTAACCCGAAGGACCAGAACCAGCAGGACCTGCATTTGTACTACAGTACTTGATTTTTCTTATCCCCGAAAATGCAAAAGCAGGAAAAAGAGAAAACTAAATCTCTAATGATCTGAGGTATGGGCAGTTCTACGACTCTCAAAAGACCAAAAGCTTAGGGATTAGAACTGACTTAACATGAACCCACGAGAAAGTAAACACCCATTGAAGTCTGAATACATCACTATAAGCCACTCAGTTTTTACTGAGGCATTTCCCCAGCCTCCAGTACAAGAAACTAATTGCTTACTAATCCAAGACAAAGCAATTCCAATTCAAAGTACTACTGGTAAAAGGCACTGATTTTTTTTTTATTTATTTTTTTTTTTGGTCATAGAATAAGAGAATTCTTAAAAGACAGGCATGAAAGAAAAACCCTTGAGGACCTAGCTCTAAAAGCAGAAAGGAATCAAAGGTAAATATGTAGTAAAAGAGGAATTAAATATAGGAGAAGGCTCTGACACGTGCACCAACAACACAAGGAATAGTTCCATTATGTTTGTATAACCTGTTCATCTGGAAGAGAAGACATAAGATTGTCTCAACCTGCAAGAATTCCATAATGATTTAGAGTAACCAACACAGACAAAAGCTGTGGGAAACAAAAGGAATCTGAACTGAAGAGGTCACATTTCAAGTCCTAATTCTTCAGACTTCCTGTATTACACTGGACAAGCCTACTTATGCAGTCCACATCAGTCAACTAAAAAAAAATAAAGCATCCTAAAAGACATGATCTCAATGCATGTTTAAGGTCTATCCTCTACCCCTCCTCCAACCCCCAAAAAAGAAATTTTAAGAATATACTTCTCATTACAAACTACAGAAATCGCTACAGAATGTTGAACATCTAATGAATAAACACGCTAGGAATGTGACTTAAGGTTACCTTATCTTCCAAGGCAGCCATCCTCTCCTTGAGATGAAGCTGAAGCCTTTCATTAGATTCAGAGAGTAGCTTATCCACAGTTTCTGACAAGCGTTTATTATGCTCTTCGTTCATCTTCTCTCTCTGTCTAGCCTAAGATAAATAACAAAAACTAAAATTCTTATGACAAAGTTACTGAAATAACTTGGAACAATGTCTTGCTGGTTGTAAAGCGATGTGCTTTCTTAATCTATATTTTTCTTTAATAGAAATGGTTTTTCCAAAGGGATAAGAAATACTGCGTGTATCCCCAAGACTCTGTAAGGAAGTATAGGGGACACAAGATTTAAATGAGCATTTGAGATCAGAAGTTTGAAAGTTTTAGCTTACACTTTAAAACAAACCAGATTTCAAAAGCAATTAATTATTTATCATCTAAAAATCATTTTTTGCACACTCAGTTACTTCAGCAAGATTTCTGATCAGATTTCTTCATCAGAAAGTATACTCAGAAAGTATAACTAACAACAAGGTAATTCCAAACCTATTTCAAACCGATCAGAGACTTTCAGCTTTTCCTTGAGACTGAAAGTTAGCCATAGAAAGTGGTCCAGATCACCCAGCTGAGCCAACCTAAACTCTGATTTATTTTAGAGATGAAACAAAATCAGCTTTGCTGAATGGTAGAAAACCATGAAGAGAATCAGATTTTCAGCTTTGTTTCAGTGTCAAAAATGTGTATCATACCCTTTGTAGTTCTTGATTCTTTTCTTCTAACTGTGCTTCCATCTGTCTCAGTCGCTCTTCTATATTGCCATGCCTCTCTTCAGCCTGTCAATTTAAAAAACAAAATCAAAATTTTTTATTAAAAAAAAAAACTTTCAAAGGCATAAAAACATCGAAGCATGACAGTATATCTAACATGCTTTGTGTAACTGCCATTTATGATAATATACAATGCAGAATTGATGCCTTTCTCTCACTAAGAGTATCTAGTGTGAGAGTTTGCATGTTATGTAACAAGACAAAGCCCCTCACCACTAGATCCTGTGAATCAACTCTTACTTGCAAATGATTTTGTAACAGATTTTCATTCAAAATTCCCAAAAGCCAACAAAAAAAAAAACCTAAACGCATTCTCAACTTCTCACTAGCCTAGACACTATGAGTTTTTGTTGTTGGTCATGACAAAGCAGAAAGCAGCAAGCAGAAATGAAGACTAATACACAAATTCTACCTTCCTAAGTTTGGTGGTAAGTTCCAACACTTTAGCATCTTTAGCAGCAGAGTTCCCAGGAGACAAAAGGTCAGACTACACAGCCAGTAAGGGATGGAAGAGATAACAGGGAAAGAAAAGAAACTAAGACTTTAAAGAGACACATATACAAAAAGGTTCATTTATACTCAACACATATTACTTCAGATTCCACTACTCCATTTGCAATCCTCCAAAAGTCTTTATACTGCTGACTACCCATTACTTCTCTCAACCTACATGCCTCACTCTGTTAACAGTAGAAGAAAAATGTTTTTCCCCTTCAGAAATTGCTACTTATTTCAATACCTATTATTGAAAGAATTGTAATAAAACCTAACAACGTAGCAGTTCAAAAAGGCACCCCCATAATGCAACAGAGCAACAAGAAAAACTAATCAAATTCCAGAGAGAAATTAAAGACACAGGACAAATCAGAGTGTATTTCAAGAGAAGAGCAGAAATAATCTCTGAAGTGGTTAGGGAAAAACTAAAACAGATCAACAAAAACAACAGTAAGAACAGATTTTTTCGTAGTGGGACAATAATAGAGAAAAAGATCTCGAGGACGTTGTCCAGTTATCTTACCTTTGAAAGTGCTGCAACTCTCTGTGCTAGCTCAGCTTCCACCTCTGGTAAAGTTTCAGCTTTTCTCAAAGTCTGCTGCAGCTTCTGCTCAGCTAGTTCCAGCCTTTCTTGCAATTGCCTGTTCTTATCTTCACTCTATACAGGATTATGATCAGCAATTTTGAGTGTTAAAATGGGAATTGATTTTGATCAAACACAAAGTTGAAGAGACAGTTTACTGACTTTACTAGAACTAAGGACAACAAGCTATCCAAAACTGGTCTCATGAACAAAGAGGTGGCATCTTCCCTTTCAACACATGAAAGGAAAGCCTTATTTTTTTTTTTTATTGCAAATATTTTTGAGGATTCCAAAAGCAACTCTATCACTGAACAAATACAATGATGGTATGGGAATTATATAGAAAATATTGTAAACTTTCAACGTCAAGGCTCTGCTAAAAGTGAGTTATACTAAGGATAAATTCATTTGTCTTTAAAATAACACTACGCATGTTACCAGAAAATTTATTTTAAAATATAAGTGTGTACAAAACTTATAAAAAAAATTACAAACAGTAACTAAGTGTTGCTTGGCTTCCTCCAGTTAGAAAGTGACTGGCTAAAAAAAGGACAAAATCCCTCCTCTGGTATGATCAAGTCACTGAAATGCTTAAAAAGCTCTTCTCCAGGTTACTCTCATCTTCGTTTTCAGGATAAAGCTCTGTACAATGCACTCCCTACCAAAAAATAAATATCAACAACAGTGCACTACAAATATTTGTTTTCCTATAAAAGCAAAGTGAAGTGCTTTGGAATAGTACAAATATTATTTCCATTAGTACTATGCTGAGCAAAATGTACTGAGCAATTTACAACCTGTCGATGCATGGAGTCTTTAGTGGCTATTTCGTTTTCAAGTTTATCATTGAGGTCATGCACAGATGTAGCTTCACGTTGTGCAGCGAGGTAGCGTTTTTCAAGAGTTGTAATTCTCTCTTCCATGTCCTCCTTCTGGGCCATAGTCTATCCAAAAGGCAAGACAGAATGTAGTCTTTTAATACTGGGGATAATTATTTACTGATCAAACAACAGAGCACACAACTTGAGCATAATCTGTAACTTTAGCTAATAAGTTCAATAACTTGTTTTTAGTGGTTTGTTTAAAACCGCTGATCTTTACTTAATGGATGGTCAGAGTGTTCTGAAAACTAATCAAAGGTCCCTTTCAGTTTAATAAGGATACATCCTCTTCCAGACTACACTGTAAGTCATATTAATTTGAAGGTTAGTGACGGATGGGTAACAGGAACTGTCCACCACATCACTCAGTGATACTATAACCGCATACAACTTTAACAACAACAACAAATGAACACGAATACAGTCAGCACCTATGACAAGATAAGTATCTTTCATGCTTCAAGTCCACAAAGCTAGATCTCTAGTTTAATAAATTTACTTGAAGTGCCTATTTAATAATAGGCAAGTTCAGAAAACAAATTTTCTTAAGGAATTGGATTTTTTTTTTTTCTTTTTTTAATAAAAGGACCATCATGCTGTAAACAGTTATGCCTTATCTTTAGACCAAAGAGCATCAAGGATTAACTAAGCACCAGTGACAAATATTATAAAGCAATTACACTCGTGACTACCCAAATTTTGATAGTTTATTCCTCACCTCTCGTACATCTCTCTGCAATTTTGTGTTCATCTCTTCAGACTTTATTAAGTCTTTTCTAGCTGTGTCAAGATCTTCTTCTAGCTCCGTTACTCTACTAGATAAAGCAGTAAGGCGTTCTTTCATTTGTGTCTGTTCCTTGTTTTGCTTATCTATGATGTCTTGGAGTTCAATCACTTTAGCAAGATTTTCATCATGGCACAAAGAACCATCAGAAGATCGCTATTAAGGAGAGAGAAGTATTTACATATGATACACAAATTTGAAAAATGAATTGTTAGTTAGCAGTAAATATCTCACCCCTGAAATAATTCTATTATGAATTAGATTGCAAAAAGCAAAACAGGCTTTTTGATCACATCTTCACTCAAAATCTTATGTTATGGTTTACAATTAAAATATTCTGGTTAATCTTAAAAATAAATAAATAAATAAATAAAATCAAGCAGCTTAAAGCAAATAGCTCTACCTTCCCATTTGTAGTTGGTGTATTTTCTTGTTCATGATTCATATCCAGCATCCCATCTGGAAGCGTTTTTTTCTGATTATTTTGCTCTTTCAGAATCATTAACTAAAAGAAAAGAAAAGCTTATATAAGTTTCAAGTTTAATTTCCATCTCAATAGCAATATAAAGAGCAGCTGTAAAAGCAAAGGAGCAAAACAAACTTACTGCAAGGTATGTGTAAGAAAATATGTCACAAGCACTCAAAAAATATGCCACTGCACCCCAACAGTTGATCTTCTAAAACCACAGAAACTATGTTGATTTTTTTAAGGCTTGATATTTTTTCCTCTCTCCTCTTCTGGTCTTCCACAGAACGTTACGCAATTAAAAAATACAGTTATCTCCACTTGGTAAAAATCAAAAGTGTAAAATTGAAAGAAAATCTTTAGTAACTGAATAAATGACAAGTATTGATTAAACACTCACATCCCACACCTGAGGAATACTTTAAAGAGAAACCTACCTCTTTATGCGTAGTACCTAGTTCTTCTTCCAATAAACTACATCTTTCAAGTGCTACTCGTAACCTCTCCCTTACCTGAAAGAGTCATTTCAGTATTATCAAATTATTTGAAATTAAGAAATCAACTTCACACACTGCCACACTACCACACACTTTCAGGTTATAAACAATGCTTTATTTTCACTCTGTTCAGAGATCAGCTTAATCTCAAGTCAGTAGTAATTACAACAGACAATACAAAAATAACTAGATAAACAATGAATGTGTCAAAATTTAGCTTTTTCTTTTTGTCATTATCAAATTACATCTCAGCATGACCCGTACCTATAGGCAAGAATTAAATGTATCCAGAATTTAGCTACCCTTTTGTAAGGCACAAAGCATGCATGTTTTTGCTTATTCGCTACAAGGAAGAAGGAATACACATCTCCTGAAAATAACCTGCAAGACTTTGTATACAAGTTCACAAAAGCTGTTCAATAAACTATGAGTTGGCAGCAAAATTCACAGCAAGTTCCACCATTAGCATTGCCTGCTGCTAACATCAGGTACAGCTGAAGGGTGGAGCTCCTTTAAATCAGCTTTATTTAATAGCACAGCATAAGCAGATTTCTTTCCTCTTGTTCTCTCTAGCCCACTTGTTGTATTACACAATTAAAAGGCTAAATCCTCATATTATACAGGTAAGTAAACATATGTGTTCCTCCAACAAATACATAAACCAAGCATGTTCGGATGCAACATTAGCACAGAATGACAGAATGCTGGAATAAACTACAGCACCTTGCTGCAGTACAACACCTTTTCTTGGGAGTGTGGTTACTAACGCAGCTTTAGCACAGCCACCATTTTAATATAACAACTTAAGTATATACAACTGTATGGTTCACACTAAGAAGAGATAGGATTTTTAAAACATTAACCAGCATAGTTATTACCTTTTCATCAAGGGCTTTGTGGTGTTCAAATAAAGATTTTAGTGCTTTGAGAACTTCTACTTCACTAGAAACTCCTGCTGGAGATTGAGCTTGTCTCTTCACAACAGTCATTCTGAGAGATCGCTCATGCCTGGAGACAAGACACTCCAAATGTTCCAGTAATAGCTAAAACAAAAAGCAGCAATGTTTATTCCCGTTCTGCAGAGTTACAGAGAACTGCGCCTCCTAAAACACCAAATTCTGACTTTTAAATTTCAAACAAATATTATATCATGTCCAAGGACACATATTCACATTTCATTCCTTTCACCCATACTAGAAGTGATATCAGAGCTAATGAATTCCCTATACTCTACATGGTTTTAAAATCAGGTTTCTACTTAACTGAGCCCTTCCAGTTCTTCCACCAATCTGAAGAACAGTGTCAAAAGGACACACAAACAGAATACTCTTAACTGTTCTGCTGTGTAGCTGTGTAATCTGATGGCAAAGACTACTACAGCTTGCCCACTCTAGTCTTATCCAGAGTACTGTACATTTTCAAAACTGTAACTAGAAGAGAGCTGAATGACAGATAGTACTGTGATCTTAAATTGCCTTCTCCTGATTCTGCACGGCAATATCTGGAGCCATACATAAGCTTCCAGCCCTTCTTAACAGACATTCACATCTGCAGGATGACTTATGTGCAAATAGCAAGGTAAAAAAGCATTTAGCTTTTCAAATTCTATATTCAGTGTTTTTCCTCCACGTAGTTGGATGCTTCAGAAACAGTGACCTTGGACAAAAGAGAAGGAACTAACCCTAGTATTATTTCTTTCTGCTTTCAGTTCAGCAATTTCTTCTTCTCTTTCAAGCAGCTGTTCCCTGCATACATTTAGCTCTTTCGTAAGTGCTGCAAATTCCTGAAACAAACCAGACAAACGTAGATACATTAAATACTGGGATGTAGCAAGAGTGGATTCATACGAACACTTGACGTAATTTCTTAAAGAATTTATTTCAGATGTCTGAAACCGATACAGTTGTACACTCACGATAAGCAGGCTTAAGTTTCAATGCTTAAAACAGTTATAAAGTAACAATAAAAGACACTGGAACAGTAGTTTGAAAACTTGCTTCTGTCTTTCCAGTTATCTGAGTCATGGTAACCCTGGTAAGCAAACCTGTTTCTATTGCACTTATATATTGTTTCTAAGGCTTGGTGTTTCTGATACAAAGGTATTCTATTGAGCAACTGAAATAGCTACTACATCCTAAACTGCTCCATTCTCTAGCAACAGTGTGACAAGAAATATAACAGGCACTGGATCAACTCAAAGAACACACTCCGGATACAATGTAAAATACAACCACACGAGACTGTCATTGAGCAAATGCTGAGAATTATCTTCCCTTCCAACTCAGTTTGGTCAAATGTCAGGTGTAACCTGAATCACATTGAAAACAATTATTAGTAGTAAGTCTAAACATAAACAAGGTCATACTTTAGAGGACAGCGTTGTAGAAAACAGGGTTGAAAGATCACTTTTGTTATCAATGCCACTTAGGCACTAATGAGAAAATAAATGCACATCAGCCACCTCAATGACTGGTGAACATTACTGAAGTACCCCTGCAAGAAAAGATAGAAATGCCAATAAACTGATTAGTCTTCACTAATTCTCTACTTTCTATGAAAGAGAAAGACCAAACATGTCTGTTAGCACATAAGTACAGCTGCACTGCTAAGACAAGGGAGGTAGGGCTAGGAATATACCATGTAAACACACCGTGCATAAAAGCTGCTTCTCCAATTTTTCTAAATTCTGCAAGATACATTGCTCAATTGACAGCAGCTGCCTATCAAGTAGAGGCTTAAGATGGTGCTGTTTCGTAGTAAAATTCAAAGTGACAAACAGCCATGCTTAAAACAAAAGGACACATCAACTAGTACAACTACTACTACACCCATAAAATCTAACTTGAAGCTAAAACAAGCAGTCGAAAAATATGCATTAATTTAATTAAGCAAAAAATTTACAAAGCTTTAATCTAAAACACATACAACGAAAGACAAGAAATTCGGTTGCATGATATATTGCCTAGAGTAAACTCCTTCAGGATTACTAACACAGCAGGCATTAAGAAGTTGCTGTGACCAAAAGACAGCACCACCGCAGATGCAGAATCCTTCATCATAACTCCTCCTAAATAAAAATTTATCATGCATATTCCAGTCAAAATTTGTGAGCATGACTATTTCACCTTTATACCTCTAAAGTAATTTTCACCACCCTTAAAAAAAACCGACTTATGATTTTCAAGAAAAAAAAAAATGCTGAAAACACACATACTAGGCATCCAGGTCAGTAAATTCATAGCTAATGACAGCTTTAAACATGCAAAACAAAACATAAAAGATTCTTGAGCGCAAAGTAAACCAAGAAAGGGAAACTCCTCCCCAAGCACTACAGGAGCTGGAGGAAAAATTCACTCTGCTTTAAGCTCTGCCTACAGAATTCTCCTTCCTGTTGGAATTTGTACTGCGCCCCCAGTAACCCCATGGGACTTTCTACGACTCCCAGACAAATGACAGCATGCATTTCTTTTGCTCCAGATACAAGTGCAGGTAAACCCAGCCAAGATTCTGAAGGTGTAGCTCTTCACAGGTCCATCTTGTTATTTTTGTATATTATGCAACTGATTGTTTTCAGGAGGTACTGAAACTACTACAAGTACTAAGACTCAATGTATTTCCAAAGGAGCTTGACACAAACATTTTATGGGTTGTTCTTTTTCCCCTTTTTCAAAAAAAAAAAAAAAAAAAAAAAAGAAAAGAAAAAAAAAGAAAAAAATCTCCCTTCAAGTGCCAACATCAAAATCCAGAAGCATGGACACTAAGTAAGGACTTCAGGCTGACACGGTGAGCTCTATATTCCTCCCGACTATCTCAAGTCTAGAGAACAGAACAAAGAAAACAGTAAGGACTATCAGACACTGTTTTGCCATCTGTCCTCAACTTAGTATCACTGCATGGCATTAATAAAAATGTTACTGAAAACAACTGCTGATGAGCTCTGTCTACAGAAAAACAGTATATTTCAAAGGAAGCTGATTTACCCTTTAAATAATAATTACAGACAGTTCTGTTCCATTGCATTCTCCTGCGCAAATATAAACTGTAGCACAAATATATCATAATTCTGACGTGAACCATCGTACTGTCAGGTGACCCAAGAATAACAATGCACATGAGAATTTATACTGCTGCTCCAGAAACAGACTGACACGTATTTCTAGCATTGCATAATACATTCATTGCTGTTTGTTTTTGCAAAATGTATTTGCTTTGAGTCCCATAAGCAGCTTCAGAAAGAACACTCAAGTGTCCTCAGTTTCAGTTGATGCTGCCAAAAGACATGTTCTTTCTAGTTTAGATCACTCTCTTCAACGGCAGACAGTTCACGATTTCCTCAAGCAGTTCAAAAGGAAACTATTCACAACTTCATTACCTAAAAACACATTCTGAGTTGTCTCATCTTCTCCAGCATTAAATCAGTGTACAGAAACAAATACAGGAAACAAGACAATTCATAAGAAGCTTTTTTACTTGTCCAAATACTGTATTACTTTGTACGTAAAGACAAACTTGAAAGCTTCAGAATTGAAGTTCTGCTCTGCTTTCCAGTTGCAATCAAAACAATAAACAGTCTACTCTAAAAACTGACAGGAGTGGGGACTCAAAATAAGCACAACAGAGCACTTACTACAAGAAACAGTGTGCCAAATATACCAAATAAATATCCTCTGTTGTTTAGAATGCACTGGCCATGTAGTAAACTGAAATGCTTACTCAAGAAAGTAACTTTCCGAACCAAATATGACTCTCTTATTGTCAGAAAAGAAAACTCAACAAAAAACTAAATTCAGTGGAAGTAACTTTGTTGCTCTTCAGTAATTCATTTTCTGGGTTTTGTCCACATATCCTCCACAGGTTTTTAAAACAATGGCATTTCTTCATGAAGAAGAGTCTGTATTCTGGGCACAAGGTGAAAAGGAAAAGCTGCCAGCAAAACAGACATGTGGAGCGAGATCTGGAACTTTTTTCTAAGACTCCTGCTGCGTTTGTAAGTAAAAGCAATGGAGAATCTCATGTCTCAGCCCCGGCCCGGTGGGAGCACATCTGAGCCACAGCACAGAAAATACACCAGCAAACAGCATTTGGGCAGGCATCACCCATGCCTAAAGAACGTAAGGACAAACACAGTGCCTGAGCGACCATCCTTCCAAAGCCACAGCTTTTGGGGGTGATGCAAAGTGTTCTTTTTCTAATTAGGTGTTTCTGTTCAAAGGTTTTCACTCCAGCAATTCATTCTCTGGTGACAGCAGCATCTCCGTGTGTGATGCCGTCGACCTTCCAAAGCACTTAGATGAGAGGCAGCAAAAGCCCCTGCTGCATCGTATTCTTGTGCATTTCCCTCATTTCTCAGGACGAGGGGAAATGGCCTTAAGTCGCGCCAGGGTAAGTTTAGACTGGATATCAGGAAAAACTTCTTTACAGAAAGGGTTGTGAAGTACTGGAATAGGCTGCCCAGGGAGGTGGTTGAGTCACCATCCCTGGATGTGTTTAAAAACTGTTTGGATGTGGTGCTCGGGGTCATGATTTAGCGAGGATTGTTAGGGCAGTTTGGTGAGGTCATGGCTGGACTTGATGATCTTTAAGGTCTTTTCCAACCTGAGCAACTCTACTGTATAAGAACTGAAGTAGCACCGGCTGATCTAGCTGTCAAGCCTGTAGAATTGTGATGTCTGATCTGATACTTGGCTACTTAAAAGACGATGGTGGTCCAGGAACATAACAGCTTTCAGGTAACAGATTTTCTTCACATTTATTACGAGTATACTTTACAGGCTCCACGGATAGTAAACTGCAACCCATTAAATGCTACATGATAGGAAAGATGACACTAAAATTTAAAGAAACAGGTAATCCCTGTGAATCCGACAACAGAAGCTATATAGCAGGGACGCTCTTTCTACGGTAACTGCAGAGTACAGTAGGGTTGCTTGGGATTTGCTCAAACAAAAGACATTTTTGCACAAAATACAAGTGCCTCTCTTAAGCAAATAAGAATTCAAGATTAAAGGTATGACTAGAAAACTTATTTTAAGGGTAAGAAGAAAAACTTTTAGCTTATCAAGAAAATATTATATATTAAAAACTATCTCCTGGCAATACAAGGATGAAGTTGCATCTTTAGGAACATCTCCACCCCAACTACGTGAGCAACATTTACCTGTTTAATCCTTAAGTAGCATTCTGTTCTACTGTTAACATTCTGTTCTGTAATCTGCACATCAAGCAACCCACACAATTATCCAATATGCTGAGAATATAATAAGAACAACAGAGGAAAAAAAAAACCAAACCAAAACAAAGCCAAACAGGCCATCAGGGATGAGAAACCAAGGTAAATATGAGACAAGTTTCCATGGTGTTACTCATATTACATGTAATCCATGCTTATTCTAAATAGTGTGTGCACAGAAATGAGAAGCATCATAAATAAAACAATCAAATCAAACCTAAATACCTACACTTAACAGGATATTTAATAGTCAGCTCATTTTAAACCCAAGGGTTGTAGGTAGCAGCAGTAGTCAATATCCCAACATACCAGGTTTTAAAAGTACACATTCAATAAAACTTAACTGTTTAACAGAATCTGGAGGGGTCAAGTAACAGCAAGCAAGTTTTGTAGCTACTGACTCACACCAGTTTAGCTTTTTCAGCTGTCAGGATTATTAAATAATTCAAGAGCAGAGCTACAACTCAAAAGCACTTGCATGTTTTGATCATTAAATCCTGCCTTCCAAGAAAACACAGAAATCCAGGAGAAACAATAACCAATATAAGCAGTGC